CAGCTGGAATAATGGTGCCCAAAAACGCAGGATTCTGCCACCTGGTCCCAATTCTACCAGACAAGAGCAGAATCCAAGGGGGAGAGGAGCAGGGCTGAGGATTGCTTCACCCTAGCTTAATTTCTCCATCCAACTGCATTACATCTGTAAAGTTCAAACGCTTCACAACAAATTATCACCAACACCCGTCAGCAGCCGGCCTGTCGGAGCGAGTTAATGATTTGTCACCGGGGCTCTGCCCGCGTGTCACCCTGATTACAGCAAGGCTCCTTCCTGCAGCCAAAGGTCTCAGCACCAGCAAAGCCAGCACATTTTGCCCAGTGATTCCCCCTCCAAAACCCGGTGCCGCTCGGCACAGATTGCGGCCGATGGGACCCCCGAAATGTGCCAAATGCACCCCAAGGATGCCATGGGAATCCCGAGGGAGCGAGGCTCCTTCTGAAGCTTGCAGTGCTCATCCATCTGCAGGGATGAACTCTGCTCCTTTCCTCCCCTGGATAAAGGAGCAGCATCCGGCCGGTCCCATGGGGATCCCTGTTGGAGATGCTCTCCCTTCCTGCGGATCTCACGGAGCAGCAACGTGCACAAGAGCAGGATCCAAGGGGGAGAGGAGCAGGGCTGAGGATTGCTTCACCCTCGCTTTAATTTCTCCATCCAACCGCGTTACATCCGCAAAGTTCAAACGCTTCACAAGAATTTATCACCAAGGACCTTCTCCAAGGTCACCGAGGAAGAGCCCCCGGGGGCTGTTTGGAGCTGCCGGCCCCGGCACCGGAGCAGCCCTCGGCAGAGCCAGGAGCCGCTCGGCAGCCCCACCAGCCGCTCCACCCCGTCCGCACCCGGACGGGCATCGCGGGAGGAGCGTGGCCCAGGCCGGGAGCGCCGGGTGACGCCCAAGGACGCCGGGCACGAGGCGCCCGCCCTCCTCGTGGGGCCCCTTCAGCACAGGCAGCTCCAGCAGCACCAGGAGCCTCCAGGCCTGGCAGCAGCCGCAGAAAAGCCAAGCGGGGATGGCAGATTCGGAGACATCTCTCCGAGCGCTATCTCACTGGGAGCATCTTTGCCTCCTGCCTCCCCCGACACAGGCATTTAGCAGAAGGACGTTATTTCCGTGCAGGAGATGGGGCTGGGGCGCGGGGGGCACCCACCAAGGTGATCACACACATCCCGTCGCTTCGCGGGCAGTCTCGGGGCTGGATTTGCAGCCATCACTCCCAGGCCCATGCAGCAAGCGGGACACAGGGCTCGGGGTCCCACGTGTCTCCACGAGGATGCGACAACCTACAAGGCGATTTGCAAGGCAAAGCCCAGCCCGGCGTCCAACACAGAGCTCTGGGCTGCAGGAACCTTCGCCCGAGCCCTCTCGGATGGCAGCACCCGCTGCTCCAGGCGCTCGCCCAGCCCTGGCAGCTGCGGTGCTTTCCCAGGACGGGCACAGCGCTCAGCCCCACGTCACCGGCCCTGCGAGGGCAGGCAGGGACAGGCCCGCGCACACCTGCACCGGGCCGCGGCGTCTCGGGTGATGCAGAGCCCCATGCAGCGAAGGCGCTGGGGACCATGCAGCTTTTGGAGCATTTTTGCCACCCGGCTTTTGCTTTCCAGCCCGAGACATTCTGCGTTAAGGCCACAATAAGTCCAAAGTAAACTTGGCCTATTCAAATTTGATTCCTTTTCAAGTGCTGCTAATTAGAAGCCCGTCTCATGTGAAGTTTCAGGACTAGCACAAGCCTCGCTGCAGACACTGCAATTAGAGCCCTGCCAGTTCTCAGCAAGGAGCCGCCGCGGGACCTGGGAGCACGATAAGCACCCAACAGCACCCAGGGCTCCCACGCCAACCTCAGCCGTGACAGGACCCTGCCACCGCAATAACCCTCACTGGGTTATTCCTGCCATAACGCCCGTCCCAGCTGTTAGAGCCAATTTCGGGTGGACAGAATTAACGGGATTAGGGCAGCCCTGAATACTGATGCTGAAATCCAGGGCTGGCACCAGACGTGAAATCCCCCCAGGTCTCAAGCTGCCACCAAAGCAGGAGCCACCGAGGCCAGCGCTCCAGGTCGGGAACGGCGCCCTGGGAAGCGTCGGCTGCTCCGGTGCACGGCAGGGATGATGCAGGCACCCACACGGAGCTGCCACCAATGCTCCCGGTGTGGCAGCGCCCAGACAATAGACAGTAAAGGCTATTGTTTGAAGGCCGCCTGCAGCCCAAAGCACTCAGGTAGGGGCAGCTCAAGGGACCCAGGTGACAAGGGCAGCCCTCGTCCCTTGGGCTAGTGTGGGAGAGAAGCAGCCCCTCTGCCACCCCGGCCAGGAGCTTGCTGCGCTCCCGTCCCCACGACCACGTCGCTTTAGCCAAAACTGCCATAACGTGTTTTCTTCATGACACTTCATGGAACAACTCCAGGGCGATGAGCAATTACAGGCTGTAGAGGCGCAGGCAGCTTAATTGGGCAATCTGCACTTTTACTCCAATAAACATCGGCAGAAGACACGGGAAGGGACCTCAGCCCTCACCAGAGCCATTCCAGGAGGACAGACACTGAGGGGCTGCGGTCTCTGCCTGTTCCCTCCCAGGCCAGGCCACCCACAGCCCCAAAACACGAGCATTTCCCCAAAAAACACCCAGCAATGCCGATGTCAAACAGCACCGGGGAAGCAGCACTTGGCAAGATTTGCTTCCCAACCAACAGGTCTCCGGCACCCAGGAAGCCTGAGCACAGGAATTCCCAGGCAATCCCATGGGAGCGACGCAGCCACAACCACCCCAGCCCCCTGGAGAGCAGAGACCGACCGTCCAGCCCTTCCCCGCACCGGCAACGTCTCTCCCCGCTCCTTGCACGGAGCCCTGGGTCTCCCACACGGAGCTCCCAGCCACGTTTCAGCACTTCCCTCTCATGAGCGCTGCAAACCTGATTAATTAAGCTAATCGCCTCGCTAACTCGATTAGTGCTCCCTCCTCTCAGGGCTCGGGCCCCGCCGGCCCGGACGGAGCTGCGGGAGCGGCGCCCGCCCGCGGAGCCGCCGCTGCCCCGGGGCCGCGCTCGGGACCGGTCGGACCGGCCGCGACACTTGTCGCCGACCCCCGAGGGGGCAAGCGGCTCTTTGAGGTATTTACGGGGCCGCTCCGCTCGGGCGCTGCCTCCAGCGGGAGCCTCGGCCCGCGGGGGTGGGGAGGAAGCGGCTGCCGCCCCGCCCGGACGCCTCGGCCCTCCCGAGCTCAGCCCCGGCGCGGCCGCGCCCGGACGCCTGGGCCCTCCCAGCGCGGCCGCTCCCGACGCGGCCGCCGGGAGCCTCCCAAGCGCTTGGAGGGGAAGCGCTCCCGGACACCGGGGTTCCCCCGCTCTGAACCTCAGCGCCAGCCGCTCCCAGGCGCCGGCGTCGCCCGCGGCCGCTCCCGGGCCCCGGAGCCACCCCGCTCCCAACCTCATCTCCGGCCACTCCCGGACTCCGGGGCCCTCCCGGCCGCACTCCCAGCCCGGACACCCGGGTGCTCCCGGCCGCACCCGGACACACGGACCGGTGCGGTCCCGTCCGCAGCCGCCGCGGAGGCGCGCGGCCCCGTGCCCGGCGGCCGCAGCCCGCCCC